AACATTGTAATTTAATACCACTAATTAAAACAGTGTTTTGAAAACCTAGTTTTTTACAAAATGTGTTCTCAGAACATCTTAAAGCCTTTTCGTGAGTAACCATGTAATGCATGGTTACTCACGAAAAGGCTTTAAGATGTTACTTCGGGCAATGATAAGCTTATTCATGTTCCGATACCATCATTTACAAAACTTGCCACATTCATTTACGGATTTTTTTATAGCAAATAGCCAAATTCACCAATAGTAATACAGTAAACGAAACTCGTCGAAACTTCATATGCATTGCCATTGAACTAATTATACTAAGCACTCACTCTCAGTGAAAGGAGTGGATGTTCGGAATAATCTTGATGTTAGCTTGACAAAAATAACATGACTACCAATCTTTAAAAAAAAATCGAAAATACATAATTGACATTGTCAATACAATGTAGTAAACTTATATTTTAAACAAGGAAGTCGAATTCATATTCATGTACGTAATTAACAGATTGACACAATATAAAACTTTGCACTGGACCTAGAGACTTTTGAATTGACAGAACTAGATACATATAACCTACTTAGGAGAATTAATCCTCGAAAAGCTAGCGGGCCTGATGGTATCCCAAACTGGTTGTGTAAAACGTATGCCGAGATACTCGCAAAACCAGTCTGTAATATTATCAATTCTTCCTTTGATGAACAGAGATTACCGTCAATGTGGAAACATGCTGATATCATCCCAGTCCCGAAGGTAAAACCAGCCACTGATGTCAACAAACATTTGCGACCAATCTCCTTGACGCCATCAATCTCTAAAGTTGCAGAAGAATTTGTGATCACAAAGTACATAGCGCCTGCTATAATGAATACATTAGATCTGGATCAGTACGGGGCCATACCAAAGTCCTCTTCAGTGCTTGCCCTAATCTCAATGATCCACGAATGGTCCCAAGCTACAGACAAATCTGGCGCAACAGTCGGAGTAACTCTTTTTGATTATAGAAGGCATTTGACCTAGTTGACCATTCCATCCTAATTAAAAAACTTCAAAACCTGACGTCATTACCCCGAAAGGTGTGCTCCTGGATAACCGACTTTTTGTCCAACAGATACCAAAGAGTGAAGCTTGCTGACGCCCTTTCGTCATGGAGACACGTCCCCTCAGGAGTACCCCAAGGCACCAAGTTAGGCCCCTGGCTATTTCTTCTAATGGTGAATGACCTACGTGTGAACAGCGTCAGTACGTGGAAGTTTGTTGACGACACGACAATTTCGGAAATCATTCCAAAGAATTCCCTTACCCACACTCAATCCGCTACCACGTCTGTTGAGAAATGGTCTGCCGACAACAAACTGCACTTGAACGCAGAAAAATGCAAGGAGCTGAGGATCGACTTTAAGCGTGTTCATCAGGAGTTTGACCCAATTGAAGTAGACAACGTTCCACTCAAAATAGTGGACCACGCAAAAATCCTGGGCCTGATAGTCTCAAACTCATTACAATGGAACCTCCATGTCAACCATGTCATCAAGAAAGCGAACAAACGTCTGTATTGTCTGGTCCAACTCAAGCGTGCAAATGTTCCTGAGGAAGATATTGTTAACTTTTATTGTACCTGTATTAGACCCACTCTCGAATACGCATCACCGGTATTCCACCACTCTTTACCAAAGTACTTGTCTGACGATCTTGAGCGAGTACAAAAACGATCCTTGGCTATAATTTACAGAGGGCAGCCATATTCAGAGAGCCTGCAGCAATCTGGACTAAACTCCTTATCGGCCCGAAGACAAACACTGTGTGAAAAGCTTTTCTTTAAAATATCATCTGACAGTGACCATAAACTCCATGCACTGCTGCCGCCAAAACACCAAGCGAAATATAACTTAAGACACAAACGCTTCTATGCTCTTCCAATGACTAACACTAACCGCTTTAGGAACACTTTTGTGCCATCTATGATATATTATAATAATTTAGTAGGCTAACATGTCTAATATTTAAATTTATATACTATTGTAAAAATCTACGTAATTCAGCCAAAGTGGCTGCAAAGTGGCTTTTAATAAAATATCTATCTATCTATATCTAAACTGGGGCCTTACCTTAAAAGCCTATGAAGGTTTCTTTAGACTCATAGCCCTATTTATAGTTGTAGCTTTAATACTTTTATGTAAATAATTACCATAATGATTGGTTGAAATAAATAAATTAATCTTCTAGGATAAAATAACAATCGTCACTCTGTAAAAAGCCGCCATCTTTGTTTTACGGCCTGTTCGCAGGCATACAGCCCTAATTAGTCGACCTGAGTGTTTAACGCACGCACAAACTCGATAGCATAGTATCTAGCGCTCCGCGCAGATACAAAAATGGGACAAATTCTGTAAATTTTGTCTAAAATTAAGTCAATTTTTTGGCAAATTTTGTGATTTTTCGAAAATTTGTATTATGTTCCGAAAAATATTGGTTGTCCGGAAAATTTTTTTGACCCCTAAAATGGTACACTGACCGAAATTTTTTTGGCGACGGGGGGGGGATGTGGGGGGGGGAGGTCGCCAAAATAATTTTTCCGGAAAAAAATTTTTGGTACTAGTCGGGCAGAATCCCGAAAGGTCGGGCAATTTTCTTTCCGCCCCCCTAATTTTTTCCTTTCGGTACGCCCATGGTAATTTCTCCGTTACTGCGAATCAGTGATTTACTAGGTATTTATAATATAGACTTTAACCTTTCATTTTACTTCGTGAAATTATTTCAAAAGATAGCCATTGAAATTAAGCCGAATGTCAGTCAGTGTGTCTTAAAACATAGGTAAAACACCTGTTCGGGGGATTTTTTAAGTTTACAGCTGAAACTAGGATTTCATTGGTAAAAAAAAAATGGAAATGGGCAAGGAATAAGATTTGGCAAAAAATGTGGGCTGGAAAATGGGATGTAGACCGATACTCATAGTAGTGTGTATTCTCGTAAAGGTTCTCGCAAGAAAAACTTCTTGCCTTTGAAGACTTTGAAGGAGGGGTATATTAGATTGCAATTCAGTGGCCGTCGCTGTATTACAAAATATTAAGATTTAAGAGCAGCGCATTGCTGAGCCCCTTGCATAAACCATTTTGTCTCCTCAAAAAGCAAAAAGGGATGCTTTTTGTAGCAAAAAGGGAGAAATAATGTAAGTTCAGAGGAGTGTTTTAATATTCATTCAACCAAAATATTGCTGTTATGCGGAATGCTCAGATTGTCTAGTTGGGATACGTCAAAAGGTTTTGTTTGAAACTGCACGAAATTTACCCCCCGAGGCTCAAAAATAGGACTTTTTTACTGTTTGTTTGTTAGTGTTTATCAAATAATAAAACAATTATTGGATGAGGTTGAGCAGGATATCGAAAGTTTTTCATACCAAGGTCAATATTAACTGCCGGATACGAAGGCTGATATATCCAGGGTTCCAGAGAGCTTCCTATAGTTAGGGTTTCCTGGCGGATATTGCCGACCGAGGTCAGAAAAATTCTGCATATCGTGCGTAAACGGAATTGTTTTTATTCATTCTGTGAGTGATACTAACGAATAAAACAATGTTCTTTCAAGTTTCCAGTGTCGTTTCAAGTCTTTCGACTATTTTCCACACTCTCAATTTCGTCGGTTGAGGATACAAAACGAGCCAAACCATTTTGAATAATTCAAAACTGAAAACGGTTCGAATAAAAAAACTCCCCGTGTTTGTAATTCCACAAAAATACCGCTGGGATGACTCGGCTTTCGTCCAATAACCTCTACAGGTATCCGTGACAAATAGCGCAGACACCTGCCTGTAAATCTCTAGAATTGTACGTCTAAATCTTATTTCCCATCCCAGTCAATGTTTCTCCTCTAAATCCCATTTCCCAGCCGTTTTTTATACCAAATTCCACTCCCAATAGTGAGACTGAAAGAAGTATTTCTTCTATAAATACTTGTAGATTAGACTTGTAAATGGAAATTATGGAGTCTTGTTTTTTACAGACATCTTCTTAATCAAAACTTGCTCCCAGCTTTTCTTTAAAGGACAGTAGCAACAAAAATGTATACTTTATATTTGTTAGGCATGAGTACTTGATTACTTAATTTCATATTTTCGTTCGCCAATTGCATTTAGTTGCTGAGAATAGTTTTGTGAAAATGTTCCAAAATATTCAACAGTCATCCGCCATTTTGAAAAATCCCGCGTATGCTAATTTATGCAATGACGTAAAGGGTAAACACACTGTCTATTGTGTACTATGTGCAGTAAATTTCTCATGCAGCAAATAATAAATGACAGAAATGCTTTAGTAAGCATTTAGCGTGTTTGTACCACTACCATTGATATTGTATCTTCCATTTTTTTGTGAAATATAACACATAACACGCATATAAGAAGGAAAATCCTTATGCTATATTACATGAATTATATCCTTCAAATATCTCGCTATATGGTAAACGGGTTTTTGTGTCTGTCATCCCCACTGCCAGTAACCCGAATCCATTTCCCAGTCCAAAAACAGGAAAATCCTGGTTCCTAATTTACCCCTTCATGGTCTTCTAAGACGCACTTATAGAATAATCGTGCATCTGCATTATATATTACGACTTCATTAAGCGATTAAATCTGTCGGTGCTACGTTGTAACTTTTAGCCCAACCCTAGCCTGATCGTAAATTACACTAGCATAATCCCAATACTAACCTAAAACTAAACCCTCACCTCTAACCACTAGGGTGCGAACCAAAGTCCTAACCCTCTCCCGTAACCTCTTATTAAGCTCAACACAACTCTTATAAAATTATTTTTATATACAGCGACATATTTTAAATCTGAATGGATTGCGTAATCTGATTCGTTTAGATTAGTAGTACGATTTTGACCCGCACTATCCATTAATAGCCCCAGGGACGCCGGAACTGGGGGGGGGAGGCAGGGGAGGGCGGCTGCCCCCCTTGCCTTTTGCTAGGGGGGGGGCAGGGGGGGCAGAAGTGCCCTTTTAGTTGTAAAATAATACGTGATAAATCACATTTCCAACGATGCTTTTTGTAGGAAAATCACGAGATTCAGGTAATTTATAGTTTATATTTATAAAAATTTGGAATTTAGAAAAATGTTTTGAAGAAATGGCGAAAATTTAAGATATCCGGAAAAATTTTTGGCTTCACGGAAAATTTTTGTATGTCCGGAAAAAATTTTTGACCCCTAAAATGGTACACTGACCGAAATTTTTTTGGCGACGGGGGGGGGAGAAGGCCAAAAAATTTTGCAGTGAAAAAAAATTTTTCAGTAAAGGTGCCCTTGGTGTGCGTCCGCCCCCCTTTGCCCTATTATCGTTCCGGCGTCCCTGAATAGCCCTTCAATAAAACACAAGCACCTAGATCAAAACTTTTTTCCATGCAAGAATACAACTTTATTAAAACAACTTACGAAATATTACGGTAAAAAAATAATGCAGATGGTGATTATGTATCTATGTATATGTACAAAGCAATCGATTACAAGAACATAATATAAGAATGCGTACACGTTTCGGAAATGTTTAAAAAGTCACACAGAACACATCAGTCTCTTAGACGTCGAAACGGTGATTCCTGATTCAAGCAAAAATTCAATCAGGCATGAAATGTAATTTACGTGTGTTTCTCCTTTGCATTGCGCGAGTGCCTGAACTCACGTATGCATATTTTTAGTCCACATTTCTTCTCCCATTCTTCAGCAGCCTTTTTTCCAACTTTCCAAACTTCGATCAGGTTAACACTTTTCCAGAGTTGATCTTGCTCTGGCTTCCACGGACGTTTCTCCTTAACTTCTATAAATTCACCATCTGACATAATCGCCAAGCAATGGCCAGCACGTTTTGTACCGTCCTGGTTCTCCTTGTAATGCATCCTAAATAAAGCAGGATGTGACTCCCCCACCATAGTGGCAATTGCCTCCTTCAAACGACGACCGCCTTCTTCGGCATCTTCAATCTTCGCGAGAAACGTATGTTTTTTTTCAATTAAGCCAACCTCATAAAACTCTTTGAAGGCCAAACTACATTTTCCTACTACAGTGAACTTACTCAAGAGACATAACTCATTTTGCACTTCCTTATGCAATCTTGTATTGCAGACTGGCAACTCCATCCGATCGAAAATGAAGGAGACAACTCTGGAGACGCACGAAACGGACAATAGTATTCTTCGCGGAATTGCGGCATTTTGAACGATTTTCCTAAAAAAATGCAATTATTAGAATTGCAGATAAACGTGACGCGGGATATAATCTCCTTTCAGGGAAACAGCACATTAATATTTGCGGAGCTCATGTAAAGTCATGCAGGGCAAATTTCGATTTGATGGGTGTAGGTATGAAAGATTTTGAGTGCCAAGACAATACGATATATATTATTATTATATACACAAGGTATGGATATGAGGTATTCTGCAATCTTATTGGTTCTTTACTAGCAGGATATTAGCTCATATCCTGCTAGTTGAGAAAAAACAAAATGGCGGATCAAACTGAATTTCCAACGTTTTGCGAACGAGAAAACGGCAAGTTGTTCGCTTTTTATAGCCTTTACAGGATTATAAAAAACCCTGAAAAAACTCCCACAAAATGTTTCCTGGTTAGCAAATGAATTTTTAAAATTTTAAATGGTTAAAAATATATATTTTTGAAATATAATCGGCCGAAAGAGCGAAGATAAAAATATAACTAAAATAGAAAAATATTGAAAATATCCGACAAGCAAAGTCTGTGAATTCCGACCTTGTGTATATAATAAAACAGTTATTCCACTCACTGTCGTCAAATATGAGCGATAGCCAATTTGGCGCTACGCGCCTCATCTGCTATCAGCTCATATTCGACTCGAGTTCGTAGAATAACTGTTAAATATCGTTGTGGTGTTTTGCAGGGTGAAATGTCAGGCGGGTTTTGATTAATTTTTCAATCTCTAAATGCCAAACATAGTCCTTTAAACTGCTTTTAAACCACGACTATTTGACACATGTTTTGAGCATTTCTGTGATTAATGTTAGGTAACACTACACTGAAAGAACTCGGACGCTTTACCTCGTGTTTAGTTTTGAAATCTAAAATTGTGCCATATATAGTGGTTATTTAATTAACGAATGAAACATTACAGTTTCTTTGAATTTGACATTCGAATTGTTTATCAAAGCGACAAATGCATTCTCCAAGAACACTCTTGCATGTGGAAAACAGACATAGGGCCTAGTACACTCGTTTGTCACCTAAGTAATAGCGTTAACTTAAACTTAAACTGAACTGTATTAATCTTGTGACAATTGTCCGCGATCTCTCCACATGAGCGATTCAAACAAACCATTTGCGATGATATAAAGACGAGCAACCACTAGTATATCTGAGATATACAGACTTTTTGTACGAGTAAAGCTATTGTATGGTTTTAAAGTTACAGTGCTCACATAATCTGTGACAAAACTCTTTTTCATGCTATTACTTTGTGGTTGCGGTTATAACAGAGAGTATTTGACATGTTTTATACATGAAAATAACTTTCAAGTAGTTGCATCTTACTTCTAAGGGTTCCCACCTTAAGTTTTTATGCAAATACTCAGCTTTATTTGTCGTTTAAATCAGAAAGTGTGCATGCTAAGTCAAGAGGAGGCATTAACCGCTGTGGAGCAATTACAAAGGGTACAAATTACTATATACTAACTGATTTATTGACTTATTGACTAACTTGACTTATTACTAACTGATCCCCGCGTTATTGTTATATAACTCCTGTGCTACATCAGTTACATTCATTTGGCTACACATAAAATATAGGATTAAATTTAAAATTTTGTTAATGACTTTCAAGGTTATTCACAACATGGCCCTTGATTATTTCAGAGAACTTATCAACCATTAACGTCCAAGACTCTTCTCTTGACGAGTAAAATTCTCTGGCGTTAGAGTAGTAGGGCAGATGGGGACGCATTGCCCATTAAAGGGTTAATATAAAGAAGAACACCATATACAGCGTAGGATCAATTGATGGTTTTGTACTAGCTCCCCCAACATTCAAGTCGAAAAAGACTCCCTGTGCAGGCCTGTCATATGCTACTAACGATGAAACATGGAAATGTGGCCATTGGGTCAAAAGTAAACTTCCCTTCAGAGAATTGACTAGAAGTATAAACATAGTATGTGCATGACTATACAGGGTGTCCCAAAAAAAATGCCCCCCTGTCATATTTGGTGGTATTACTTCGCTATATTTAATCAAAGGTTCAAATTTTTTGCAGTGGGTTGAAAAACAATCATATTATATTAATCGTAGTATTTATCTCACCAAAATACTTAACCGTTCGGCTTCTAGAGATACTTAAAGGTGGCGACATGACCAATTTTGCAACCCGTCCAAATTACAGAAATTAGATTTTAATAATGCAAACTTTGCAAAAGGATTTCTAAAGTTTCTACCCGCCTTTTTGCTCAACAACAAAATGTTTTTATCTCTATTATTAAACTTTTGTTTATTGTAGAAATTAATAAAAAAAGATGAAAAATCCCTGACAAATTGACAAAGGCAAAGCTAAGGTTGGGAAAATGCCTTAAATTTGCTGTTTTCCGTTCAATTTGTTCTATGGAAGAGCATGCAAATGTTGGGATTTCGGCAATAGTCTTTCCCCTTTTCTGGGGATTGCTTCATTATTTTTACAGAAAATTAATTTGCGATTTTGGCTACAACTAATTACAAGTTTTAGAAAAGATATGTAGCCATTTACCATTAAAATATTTTATGACGTTCCGTAATATGTTTAAAAAATAAAATTATATCCTCAATTTGGACAAGTGGCAATATTGGTGTCGCCAACTTAAGTAACTCAGATCTAGAAGGCGAACGGTTAAATATTTTGGTGCGAAAAAATGCAACGATTAACGTAATATGTTCATTGATAAAAAAATGAAAAAAATCGAATATTCGATTACAGGTAACGATGTAGTACCACTACATATGATAGGGGGCATTTTTTTGGGACACCCTGTACAAGTTAATTTTGCATTCAGTTCATGTGGCAAAAAGGCAGCATTTTCCTTGCGATAGTAACTCCTAGCTATAGATAGTGTGAAAACAAAAAGTAACCCATTCGCCTCGGCGGCTGGTGCCAATTTTTTTCTCTTTTCCATGTTATGAAGTCATGCTGTGTATCTATATAACTGAAAAGACAACGGCAAAATCTTATCTATTTGATAAATGTATACATCGGTTTGATAAGCACGGAACTTAAAGTCCGTTTCGGTAGCCATGCATAAATTAGCGTTGTTAACGATAGTGGTGTAACTTTACGTTTTTGACCACTTGCCCTCAGGGCAAGTTGGACATGAAAATTAACCCTGAATGAAATTCACTTGCCATCAGACAATGGGTAGACCTATATAGGTAGAGGGTATAAATTAAGGAAGGGGAAAACATGTCGACCAGCGAACCCACTGCTCTATATGGCTATGTTATACTGCATCAGATCTAGCTTAACAAATTTTGAATCGAGAACCATGCACCATAAATTAAAAATTTATCCGACAATGAAAACATAAACTTAAAGCAACTTGCCTAATCGTATTGTGCTTTATAACAATGGTATCAGGCTAACGAAACATCTTTAATTAAAGCAAATTAAAATACGCTAATTATTGAAAAAAAAAAGCAATTAAAATGCGCGATTATCTTTTGATTTCCAAATTAGGGCAAATACGAATATTTCGAAAGTTCTTTAAATATATTTTTTAGCTTCAGCGTAATTGCCTCAATGTCTATACAAAGTCTTGTCTTCTGTGATATTTGCCCATGGGCATTGCCTATGAAAACAGGAGAGTTTACTGCAATGGCAACGAAATTTAAGGCAGCATTTTAGGGAAGCCTCACATATCGTTTTTTTCCATGAGAAACGTCATATGTACGTTTCTCTGCAGACCCCCCGCCCCCCACCCTTCACTATTTTCTACGGTCAGCTATTGGCGATTCTTCCGCGAGGAATATGTCATCTCTACTGACATATGCTTTTTATTAATATATATAAACTTGAAAATTTTCAACGTTTCTTAAAACAACTTTGTTTGCATGAAATGTTGACAATTTTACCGCGTTTTTCTTGAGATTTGAGTGTTTTCAATGCAAGTAAGGCGTAATAATATATGTCAATATGAATGTATAGAACAAATATGGTATTACCAATGTATAGACTGCATGGTGTTTGTATCGAGTTGTTTTAATTCTTTTTTATATTGTGCAAAGATGATTCCGAAATGTTAGGATTTTCGAAAAAAACTATCGTATTTTTCCAACGTCACAGCTGCAATAACCGTCACAGCTGCAAAAAGCTTAACTACGATTACGGTTTATTTTTTTATAATAAACGGCTGAAGTATTTTGTTTTTAATTTTCTTTGTTCAGGAAAAGGACGGCAAAAAATTTCAATTTCTACAGACAGAATGTCTGTCCTCCCATAGTTATGCATGCAGTATTGAAATTATTCAGAAAGATATTGTGTTCTATTTGTGTCTGCAACTTGCGAGGTGCCAAAAACATGCGAGTCAAACATGAATATAATGTATACATTGAAGGCAACATTTTAACATTTAAGACTTAAGTTCCTGTTCAGGTAAATTTTTTTCACATCTCACACCCCAACAACAGCTGCCGTTGGCAAGATTCCTGCATATATCATAAAGTTAAATGTTTGTCAAGGAAAATCTGCCATCTTTTCCCACTCGTCGTTTCCAAGTCCCTGGGCCCTGGCCGATAAACTTTTACTGTATAAGGAAAATGACGGTTGCGGTTTACATGAAGAAAATACATGCGATCAACGGCGAAGGACACAAAAATACGACGGTTTGCGGAACGACCAACCCCCTATAATAGACCCCCATTATAGACCAACCTATTATGATTTATACTTCTTATTCAATAATTATTCAAAAATCGTTCCATATTATAAGTACGTAAACGCCCACTACGTCATTGACGCATAGCTGGTAAGTAATTACACTTGTTCAAGCAATCTGCAGGAACAAGACAGTTATGTAAAGCAGGGACTATAATAGACTTGTCATTGCGAAATTCATTAACCTGTGTACATGCATGTACAGACCGTTTTAATATTATCCTCCAAAAGGACTTGCGCTTAAATGTATTGTCCAAATTTTTATTGAAGTTTTTTCTTAGAGAGAATCAATATTTTCCCACTGTCTGT